GGCGCCTCCCCGGCGACCCTGAAAGGAGCGCCAAAAAGGCACTCCTTTCATAAGTCGCAAAAAGAGCGCCCTAAAAGCGGCGGGCGCCCTTTTTGCGACTTATCCTCCACAGCGCGTCCGGACGCTGTGGAGGGAGGTCGCCCTGAACGCGTCCGGCGTGCGGTGACCCGGAAGCGTTCAGGGCGACCTCAGGAAGAGGAAGGGCCGCCGCGCGTGCGGTGGCCCCTCCTCTTCCTGGCCTCGGAGACGGCTCAATTGAGTCGTCTGCCGAGGCCCTAAGTTGAAGAGCTGTCCACTCTCCAGACACAGGCAAAATAGGAAAGCTCATTTCACCAAATAAAACTTCACACGATGAATATTTAACTAAAACTCCCAGCTTTTAGTTAAATTAGTTGATCAACTTTAAGGGTGGGGGGGCTATGGAGAGCAAGTGAGGCACTTCCCTGTAGGGATCTACACATTTCTCCAGCTGTATCATTGGGTATTGATGAGTCAAAATATTCTTTAACATCTTCTGGATAAAAAAGAATAAGAACTATTAGTTCATAAAAATTATCTTCCCTGACCAAACTCTCCAGAGTGTAGTATTTACATCTGCAATATACATCTTGCATCATGAAGTCAAGGGAAGTCAGTAATAAAGTAGTAAGAATGAAACATATGGTTGAAAATATGGGGGTATCTTTTACTGTACCACATGTAGTTATGCAGGTTTTCACGGCAAATGTTCTTTTTCAGACATAGATATTGAAAGCCAAAATAAAGTACAATTAAACATTTTCCCACATGTCCAGACAGCTGATTACTAGCCTGCAGCTCTAAAAATAGGAAGTTCACAAGAAATATACCCTTAACATTTATTGATTACAAGGAAAGCAGAATTTTCTGAACACTCAGCATAATGAATATGTTTGGTCAAAGAAAAAAATTAACTGAAAGACAAGTTGTATGCCAATGTGTAAGGTGTGCAAATTTTATTCCATATCTACTGTCTTTTGTAGAAACTCAATATTTAGTGCTAGCCTTCAAATTGGCTTTTATATTTGCACCTGCAAACTGTTTGTACATGAAATATCTAGATATTCCCAAGTTAGGCAACATACAAGACAGTGGATCTTTTCCCTGTGAAAAATTAGCATTAGGGGCTACTTGCAAGTACAAACAAATAATTGTGTAAAAACTTGGAAATAGGAGAAGACAGATACTTTTTACTCAAATGTAACTACATATTTACTTTCTAATTGTTCTGAGTGATATTTATGAGTTTTTTATTTTTTACAGAAATATGAAAGGCATCTTACATGAGGTCAGGTGTTTTCATATTATAGGGAACCTCAAGAGAATCAGCTCACCCCATTGACATAGAGCCAGGCAATTATTTTATATATATATATATATATATATATATATATATATATATA